TCTAGAGCACTGTCAACCATTAGCTTGTAATAATTCTTGGAGGTAGATTCTAATTTGAAAGGGACTTCTTCCTGAATATAGCAAGTAACCAGACCATTTTGCCCAGAATCCTGGTCTCGCACTTTAATGAGGGCTATTACAGTTCCAAGGTCTGTGTCCTCAGGAATCTGGTTAGAAAAAGACATGAAGGTAACCTCTGGGGCATTGTCATTCTCATCGACAATGTCAATCTGAACACTGCAGTGAGCCGTGTGTACCCCTCCATCCTTGGCTTCTACAGCCAACATATATCTATTTGTCTCTTCAAAGTCCAATGTACCATTGGTTGTGATGTCACCAGTATTTGGATTGAGATTGAAGAGGAGGCTGGTGCTTACTGGGGCATTGAGGAAGGCATAGGTGATCTCTGCATGAATGCCCTCATCCTGGTCGGTGGCCTTCACCTGTAGCACGGAGGTTCCCCGGGGCACGTTTTCTTGGAGTCTAACTCTGTATGTGTTCTGGCTGAACACCGGAGCATTATCGTTGGCATCGGTGACCTGGATCCGGATCTGGGTGGTGCCACTTAGAGGAGGGTCCCCGCCATCCATGGCAGTCAGGATTAAGCGGTGGGAGCTCTGCTGTTCTCTATCCAGAGGTTTTTCCAGCAGTAATTCTGGGTATTTACTTCCATCGGGACTTTCCTTCGTTGACAGAGAGAAGTGTTCATTGGGGTTGATGGTGTAAATCTTCAGTGAGTTACTTTCTACATCTGCATCTTGCGCAGAATCCAGAGGGAATTTTACCCCTGGTGAGGCTGACTCACAGATTTCTAGGTCAATATCTTTTGTAATGAAACGTGGTGCGTTGTCGTTAATATCCTGGATTGCAACAGTCACGTGGAACACAGTCATTGGGTTTTCAGCGACCATTTCAAATTCCAGTGCACACTCAGGTTTCCTCCCGCATACCTTCTCTCTATCTATTCTACCGCTCACTAACAAATCCCCACTCTCCGCACTCACATTGAAAAAATTCTCTGCACTAACTCGCAGTTTTCGAGCTGGCAACTCCTGGACACTGAGTTTCAGATCCTTGGCGAGGTTCCCCACCCTCGAGCCCCTGGCCAGCTCCTCTGGAATCACGTACTGGATGTGCTGGGAGATGGCCCCGCATAACAAAGACAGCAAGAAGAGAAACAGTACCTGACTTTTCATCGCTTCAGCTTTTCCGGAGCTCCTTTGCATTTCTTGAACTCTCTGGGAAGCTTCTTTTCGAGGTGTCTCTGGGATGTTTAAAAAATCAATGACGGCNAATTTTTTCATTAACTTTCTATACAGAAGATCCTAAGCCACAAGCGATTATTGTCTGTGACTATCATGTTCACAGTGTGTTCTCAAACTTTAGAACAGCACCTTTTATAGACTATGCACTCAAATGGTTTTTCAGTGTTTAATGAGTGAGTCACTAATGCAACTGCAAAGCCTAAAACAATGGGTAAATAACTCTGATCTTAAAAAATTAGTAATAAAGATAAGAAGACAGAAAAGTTAGAATGAAGCACTATAAAGAGCAGGTAATATTTCAGTGATCTTTTTTCATGTGAGGACACATTTCAAAAGTATTATTTACCATTATTTCTAAGTTTACTTAAGCTTTGATCTTCAAAATAACCAGTAGTTGTGTATATGTCACCATTGCATGTTTCATAGTTTCCTTATTCAAGAAAACTTAGTGATTTATTAATCTGAGAAAACTTGAGATAAAGCAGCAAGTAATCAGTTCCTTAGATTATTCCTCACATAATAACTAACTTCTAAAAGTTACTCATAAATTTTAATCAGATACAAAAGTCCAATGATTATTCTGTTTTCTAAAATCTTCAGACTTTTAGAGTAGATTAAAGGTATTTTTCACAACCCTCAAAGGACCCACAAATTGTTGAAGCTTCGGAGGGAAAATAAGATATTTTGAAACACTTTTACTCACTTCTCAGAAACCTATATTTGAAAAAGAAACATGGAAGAGGCTTTAGATACAAAAATGTTCTTAAGTCCCTTATTACAAAGTGGAATGGGTATAAAAATAAATTATTAAAGAATGGTTAAGAAAGTGTTTCTTGAAAGAGATTATGAAGTGGGCATAAATTGACCCAAAGTTATTCAAATGTAAAATCCGAAGTCTTTGCTACATAGAATAAGGCCAACAAGTGCTAAGAGACTTAATTATTGGAAAGCTATATTAAAAATACACATCGAAGCAA